GGGGGGGGGGGGGGGCGGGCGGGGGTGCTCAGGGAGGCGCGCCGCCGATGAGCCACGGCTGCGTTTGGCCCTGCATGCGAATGAGCGGCGCCATGTGCGCCGGTTAACTCCTTGCTTAGACCGAGTGGTCACCCTCCCCTTGCAATATTATCAATCCCTTTCTAATCGCAGGTGGCGTACCACCTCGCGCTGGAGCTGCTGGCAGAGGCGGGCTTCACCGTCGTGGCCACCCCCTACCAGCTCACCTTCCAGCACCTGGACTGCGCACGCCGCGTGGCCGCGGACTTCAGGGCGGCAGTCCAGGAGCTGCGGGAGTCTGGCCGCGGATACCTGGCGCCGCCGGGCAGCGCGGTGGTGGGGGTGGGCCACTCCAACGGCGCGCTGCTGCACCTGCTGATGGGCGCGGTGGCGCCTGGTCACGCACGCGCAAACGCGGTGATCTCTTTCAACAACAAGTGAGGGGGGATGGGTGGTGGCGCGTAATTGAGGCAGTCTCACGTGCTGGCGCGCGCGTGATGTTGGAAGCCGGCACATTGACAGCATCGGCGCAGGTGGCGGCTGGGGCGGGGCTCACAGCTGTGCTGCAGGGATGAAGGAGCCAACTGCAGGAGGGCCAGAAACACCTGGCAGCCAGGACCACGCGAGGCGCACGCGTCGTGACCAGCCGCAGCCCGCACCCCGCGTCCACCCGTGCGCTGGCGATCGCCATCCGCCGCCACAGCCCGTTGCCCCGATCCCTCCTCCAGCGCTCACCCGACCGCCTCTCACCAACCCGGCCAACCCCACCAACCCAACCAAAACCTCCCGCAGGCAGGTGAGTGACGCGATCCCCATCCCGGGGCTGCTGGACGGCCTCCGCCCCACAGTCCAGGCCGCGCGCTCCGCATCCCCGGGCCCCGGCCCCGCGCCGCCGCCCGCCGCGAGCCTCCTCGCGTCGGCCGCCGCCGCGCTGCCGCCGGGCGCGGCGCTGGAGCGGCGGCTGGTCGAGGCGGCGGTACCGGCGCTGGAGCAGGTGGGGTCCGTGCTGTCCGAGGTTGGCGACGGCGTCACTGAGTTTATCCCGACGCCCGCCGAGTCGCGGGCGCTGATCGCTGGCAGCTACTCGGTACCCCGCACCCTGCTGGTGCGGTTCTCAGACGACAGCATCGACGAGACGCCGGAGATGGTGGGGCTGCTGCGGGCGGCTGCGGCAGGGACGCGTCGCGGGCGCGGCGAGGGCAGCGGCTACCTGAGCGACGGGCCTGGCAGCGGCAGCGACTGGGGCGGCGGGGACGTCGGCGGCGGCGACAGCGGCGACAGTGGCGAGGGGTACGAGGACGGTGGCGAGGAGGGCGGACCGGCGGGTGCTGGGCGGGGGCTGTTGGAGGTGCGGGAGCTGGTTCTGCCAGGCAGCCACGTCACGCCCTGCGGCACGGATGTTGACTGGGGGCTCGAGCCGCTGCGGCGCGCGGCTGCGGAAAGCCAGGCGGACGTGCGGCGGCTGGTGGCCGAGGTGGCGGCCTGGGCAGGCGCGGCGGTGGAGGCGGATCGGCTGCAGCTGAGGGCGGCTGGCAACGGCGGGGCGGCGGCCTCGGCCGAGTCGCCTGGGCGGGGCTCGCCGGCTGACGCTTTGCTAGACGAGCCCTCTGCTGCTGCAGTGGCAGCTGTGGGGGTGGAACAGCAGGCATGAGAGCATTGCAGCTTGTTTTGGCTCGGTTTTGGTTGTGCTCTCCCACTTCTGTGATCTTAAAATGTTTCTGTGCACAGGTCGGTCCCTGCCCCCTTTGTCCAGCGCCCGGCAGTGCATTGCATATATATGTTATATATATTATATGTTCTGCAGGACTCGGTGTGCACGTTGTAAGCCGTAGCCTTCAGAGTGCGGGCAATTGAAAGAGTTGGTCGGTTACACCAGCAGAGTTGGTTACACCAGCAACGCTGCAAAGGATCGAGCGGGTCACTCATGCATGCTTGTGCCTACCTACTGCACTCGCGGGAAGATCTGGATGTAGTGAGCTGCCTGACAAAGGCGAGGACGATGCATAGCACGCAGTATCGCACTGCGTGACCAGCGAGCTCGCTTTGATTGCTTGCACCGACGGGGCGCGTGCTGTGAAGGGCAAACCGCCGCGCGGCGGCGCGCCGCAGTGTGTGAAAAATATACCGTCACACGTCATGAAAGTCGCTCACGACTCAACCCCTCACGTTGGCACGAGATATCTTTGCCAGGGCCAGGGGTGGTCCACCCGAGTTCAAAGCGCAAAGCAAGGTAGACCGGCACCCAGGGCGTGGTCGAGCCATCGCTCCGCTGCACCACCCGCAGCGGCCGCTATGCCCTGGCCACCACCAACCCTGCCACACCACACCCACACACACGCATCCTAGCCCACCCCTGCCACCCTGACCCCGCCCCCGGGCCCGTACGTCATTAGCGGCACCACCGGCGCGTATCCCGCGCAGCCGGCTCAGAAGGGCGTGAAGCTGCTGTTGAGTGCGGTGGTGTTTGAGGCCATGAGCTTGAGGCAGGCGTCCACGTGCAGGGGGGCGGCCAGGTCCCTGTCCTGCAGGCCGTGCTCCATGTGGGCCATGAGGCCGCCCTGGAAGAACGAGTTCAGGAGGCCCAGCAGCAGGCCCGCGTTCTGGCGGCTGCGCCACGCGCCCTTGTGGTCCGCACCCTCCTGC